TGCCAACATCTACACTGATTCACGCTATGCCTTCGCTATATTCATGGGGCTATGTACAAGGAAAGGGGGCTCCTGATAGCGGGAGGAAAAGGAATAAAAAAATCAAAATGAGATTTTAAAGTTACTAGAAGCAGTTTGGGAGCCTAAAGAAATAGCCGTCATTCATTGCAAAGGTCACCGGAAAGGGAAAGACTCAGTGTCAGAGGAAACCAGCGTGGGGACGCAGCAGCAAAGCAGGCTGCCAAAGAACAAGCAGCACCGGCATGGATCATGTTGGCCCCGAATCATCTGAATCTCCAAAGTACACTCCTCAGGAGGAGGAATGGGTCCAGCAAGAAGGGGGCAAAAGAACAAAAGAAGGTTGGTGGATATTCCCAGATCATAGGGTCTATGTCCCAGGACAGTTAGCCCATAAGTTAGTCCTCCAGCAGCATGAACTTACTCATTTAGGAAAGACTGCTCTAGAAGCCATGTTAGGCAGATACTACCTAATTGCCCATCTTCCCTCCTTGTGTGCCTCAGTTTCTCAGTGTTGCCTCCTCTGTTCACAGAACAATGCCAAACAGAGTCCTGTGGGACCAATAGGAGTTCAGCGCTGAGGGCAAACTCCCTTTGAGCACTTAAAAATAGACTTTACAGAAGTAGGGCCTAGCAGAGGAAATAAATAACTACTAGTCTTTGTTTGCACCTTTTCAGGCTGGGTCGAGGCATATCCCACTCGCATGGAAAAGGCGAGAGAAGTCACTAAGGCATTGCTAAAGGACATAATTCCGAGGTATGGAATGCCTCTGACCATAGCGGCTGATAATGGCCCAGCCTTTGTAGCAGAAATAGTACAACAGGTAACTAAGGCTTTAGGAATTAGATAGAACCTACATACAGCTTACAGGCCTCAGAGTTCAGGGAAAGTACAGTGCATGAACCGTACTCTCAATTAGGCTATGGCTAAGCTATGCCAAGAGACAACCCTACCCTGGACAGATATCTTGCCTCTTGTACTCCTGCGGGTATGCTGTGCCCCGAGGGCCAGGGTAGGTTTCTCTCCCTTTGAAATTCTATATGGTAGACCCCCTCCCTTAATTCGGCCAGAGGGAGATTTGGGAGAAATAGGAAACTTAAAAATCCAGAAGCAACTACAAGGACTTGGAAAAACTGTCTTTGAGGCCCACAGGTGGGTTACATCTCTCTAGCAACAGCCGTACATCCTTATAAACCTGGAGGCCAGGTTTGGGTAAAAGACTGGAAAAAAGAGCCCCTTAAGCCAATTTGAAAGGGACCCTATCCAGTCATACTAACCACCCCCATAGCTCTCAAGGTTGCAGGACCGAACATCTGGATCTACCACTCCAGGGTGAAGGCAGCCAACCAGCTGAGCGACACCCAGCCTGAGTGGAAGGTGACCTCTGACCAGAAACACCCCCTGCAGATCACCCTCAAGAAGACAACGGACCTGGCCGATCAACCTGCTCCAAAGAATTCAGGTAACACCCTGCTGAATTCTTCCTTATACCAATTTTTCTTTCTTATCTTCTCTTAAAGGCAAAATGCTCTGGTATTTCTGAATAATCATTGTTTTTATCTTTCTAGTAATTTTCATTTTGTCTTTTTATGAGTGCCGCCAGAACCCGAGGCTAGTCCCAGGAGGAGAACTCTTCTGCCCTTAGTGGGACACAGAAGCACCATAAAATTACTGCTTCCTACACAGCAAAGGAACAAGATAAAGCTAAGGCTAATTCTTTTACTGTTACTGAACTCTCTCAATCCCTACCACTCTCAGGTCTACACTCTGCCTCTTGAGAGCTTCCTAAGTCCTCACTATCTCTATGGAACGCTTAACCTCACCCTCTCCCTCTTAAATCAGACCAACCTAGCCTTAGCCAGGGAGTGCTGGCTCTGCTTTCCCCTCTCATCTACAAGCTACATGGCAGACCTCCCTGCATGCATGGTCTGATTCTAGTCTGTCCTTCCATTATAAAATACACGGAGGGCCTCCATTCCAACTTACGCACCTCAATGAACTTTATAACACTTGGCATTTCAACAGGGGTTAGCACTGGAATAGGGGAACTGGCAACTTCCCACTCCTACTATCAGAGCCTATCCAAGGACCTTGCTGACAGTTTAGAAAAAATAGCTCAAAGTATTGTTGCAGTACAGGATCCGATTGACTCACTGGCAGCTGTTACTCTCCAGAATCGAAGAGGACTAGACCTTCTCACAGCGGAGAAAGGGGGGCTGTGCCTGTTCCTTGAGGAAGAGTGCTGTTTTTATGCTAACCAGTCTGGTATTGTAAGGGATGGGGCCAAGAAACTAGCTCATTGAGCTTCAAAAATAAAACAGGAATTATCTGAGACCTGGGCTACATGGGGGGGGGGGGGGGGGGGGGAGTCTGGGAATGGCTCCTTCCATTGACAGGACATCTTTTAATGCTACTCATAGCCATAACCCTAGGACCATGTCTTCTAAATCTGTTAACTCGCTTTATCTCATCCTGTCTAGATACCTTTCAACTTCAAATGGTCCTACAAGCCAGAAGAATTCCCTACAAACCTCTCCAAGAGGAAGAAATGGGATGTTAACCCCTTGAACGTCGTCCCTTTTCAGCAGGGGATCGAAACCACTGTTCACTGTAACATCCCATAGTTATTGTACCACAAAGCTAAAAAGCTTGTGGGACAAGGGGGGGAATGAGAGGGCTAACCCCTATTTTGTAAAACTACTGTTTGGAATTCTCTGCTATTCTTTAGACGGCCTCTTATTCTAAAAAAATACCTTTGCTTTCTAGCCTGCTTTAGCCTGCTTGAATAATGAAGAAGATAAACTTAGCTGTCTGACCTTGTATGCCAGAGACCTTGTATTCCCAATGCCATGCCAGCTGCATTTTTTAATGGATGGACCAGCGAGATAACCACTAAGTGCACCTAGGGCTGGCTCTTTCATAAAAAGGGAAGTTCTGCTTGTAGCTCTGCTTAGAATTTGAATTCATTTTTTCTAAGCTCACCGCAGAGAATAAAGTGTAACTCCAAACTCTCTGAGCATTGCTTGGTCCTTCTCGGTTTTTCTGTAATAAGATAAACACCAATTGTTGCCTCCCGCATGGAATCAAACTGGTAACCTTTCCCTGCCTGGGACTATGCTCAACCAACAGACCCACTCCATCCATCATATTTTTTATTTTTTAAAAAAATCATATTATTAAGAGGAAAAGCAGGCTATGAGAAAATATACATAATCCTACTCTGTTTGTTTAAAAACAAAAATTAAAAGGTTACATAGTCGAACAAGTTGACATTTCCTACATTGTCTGAATGTTTGTAGACAGTACACATTGTGAAGCTATGGAGCTAAGAGTTACTGAATGGTTACTACATGTGCAGTTCCTGGATTCAATGCTTTGCATGCATTATTATTTCAATGTAAATTGCATAAATGCTGTTAATAAAAGTCAAGGCTGGAAGTCAAACCCATGTGTCTCTAATAACAGAAGCTCTGGTTTCTAATGTTAGGCTCTGCTGCCTCCTAGAGAGTAGAGTTGGCAATGTATAACCATTAGGATTGGGTAGGTGTTATAGATAACAAACAGCCACAAAGATTTAGTGGCTTATATATATTAAAGAAAGTATCTTGTTCATGCCACATGTCCTCCCTTGTTCTGCTGGGGCTGGTATAAAAAGGAAGCCACCATGTAGATACCTCCTAGGTATGTGAGAGATGGACAGAGATGGTGGGCAGTCTCAGTGGTTCCAGACTGTGAGTGGTGACAAGATTCACTCCACCACCATTCATTGGTCAACGCACATCACAGTGCTGCAGCCAACTTCGTGGGATCAGGAGGAGAACCTGGCATTCTTTTTTTTTAAAAAAATATATTTTATTGATTTAAGAGAGGAAGGGAGAGGGAGAGAGAGAAAGAAACATCAATGATGAGAGAGAATCACTGATTGGTTGCCTCCTGCACACCCCCCTACTGGGGATCGAGCCCGCAACCCAGGCATGTGCCCCTGGCGGGAATCGAACCTGGGACCCTTCAGTCTGTAGGCCGATGCTCTATCCACTGAGTCAAAACAGCTAGGGCAGAACCTGGCATTCTTGATGGGTCCCATTAAGGCCACCACATGGTGCCAGCCTCTTTTGGGGTTGTGCAGTGGCAAAGGAGATGAGTAGGGATTGTAGAAAATGACAGTGTTAGTCAGGATGGTTCATTTTCTCCTCATCCAGGTGAACTTGCTCCCTGAGCTGCCCCAAACTGTCATTGTCAAATTTCAAAGTGAACCTCAGAAGAAGGTGTCAGATGTCATTGGCAGAAAACTAAGAACCCACTTCTGAGTGTGACCCTGGGTAAATCCCTGGCTGCCTCAGTTCCCCCGCTGTAGAGGAAGTGAAGACCCACATGTAAACACTGTCTATTGGGAAGGGTGCAAGCCTGCAGGCATTCCAGCACCATGTTCTTTTACATTAACACCAGTCTCTACCCTGATTCCAAACCTCTTTATCATCTGCATTGCTCAGGTGGGGCTGATTGTAAAAATGCTGACATGAACAGCAATGGTGATCCTGTGGTTTCCACTCAATCTGTGCATGAACCTGTGCTAAATGCTGTCCCTCTATATTTCTCCCTATACCCACTGGAGAGAACTGGGCCTAATTCTCTCCCCTGGTCCCTGTCTTCCTGTGTAGCCATGCATGTACAGTTGACCAGGACCCCCAAGTCCAGGAGTAATGCTCTGAGCCGCCCCAGGCTCCCTCCTCTATTAGGTGTCAGCCTAGCTTACACACGGGCAACTGACTGACCTGCTCTTCAGGGGCCAGGAGTATCACCTGACTCCTCCAGCCCTCTCCATGTGTATCCATGGAGGGGGGCTTAGGGGCCCAGGAGTCTTCCCCCTTAGTTGTCACCATATGCATACATTCATTCTTTCCTTTCCAGGGATCCAGGATCCTTCAGTTTTTCCACAAAGGCACAGAGTCCTCCACAAACACCCCCCTCCACACGCTATTACCTCTTGTCTGCCATCAGAGTCCTCCAAAATTCTCCACCTTCCCACAGCCTGGGATTCTATGAACTGACTCTTCACTTCATCCATCCCTGGAGCCTGAGATGAGTCCCTGGGGTCACCAGACACCTGGAAGAGCAGAGGCATTAAGGGCTCAGCCTGGGGGAGGAGGAAGAACACACTGTCCTTTCCATACCCCTGAGGAGATCGCCTGTGCATCTGCTGTTTCCAGGGCGCACAGACACACACACTCACCGGGAGATATACAGACACCACAAACACAGAAACACACAGGTCACAGAACACCCCAGACACAGCTGGGCACTCAGATGCAGGGGTAACGGCCAGGCCCACAGTGACCCACTCTATAGACAGAGGAGACACGCACACACACACACACACACACACACACACACCAGGACAGACTTACACGGACACAGAATGCAGACACAAAGAGGAAGCACACACAGACACAATCAGGAACACCCAAAGGAGCAGCAGAGTCACACATACAACCAACACTCACACATGCACAACAGGCTCCCACGCACGCCGAGTCACCGTAACGCACTGTGTTGAAGGAAAGATGAAAAATTAAGGTGTGGGTCGCTCACTCCTCACCGCGGCGGCAGCACAAAGCCACAGGCCCCGGCGGCCGCTTCCTCCCAGAGGATTGGCTCAGGCGGCCCGCGGAGGCGCAGGAGGAGGAAGAGGCGGAGGAAGAGGAGGGGAATCGCCGCTGATCAGACACTCTTCGCCGGCCTGTGCGCGGCTCGGGGCTCGCGGTCCTCGGAAGCCCGCCCCTCCCCCACTCCCCTCACCCCCAGTCGGACCTGGGCAGCCCGCGACCCCTCCCCCGCCCCGCCCCGCCCCGCCCGAACCTGGAACAAAGTTGACGAGAGTGACCGGGCCCGAGGGCTGCAGTCCGGGCCCCAGAGGAGGCGGCAGCGATCGGGAGGGACGGCCGAGCCCCACAGACGATCCGGAGCGGCTGGGCCAGCGGCCGAGGCGATCGGGCTCCGCGGAGCCCGGACCTGAGCCAGGCTTCCCCGCGGCGCCCCAGTGTCCAAGGACGGGGGGCGCGGGCGATCCGAGCGTTTCCCGGAGACCCCCGGGCGGAGGCGCGAGCCCCTGAGAGGAGGGGGCCACCCTCGGCGCAGGCGGGGAGAAGAGGCCCCGCCTGCCCGCAGCCCTGCCCGCAGCCCTCCCGTTCCTCGCCGGCGCCCGTCCCTCCCTAAAATAGCTGAGGCCCGCGGGGGCAGGAGGAGCGGCCACCGTCCCCGCAGGGGGCCGCCCGGTCTCCCGCGCGCCTGTCCCGCGCCCCGCGCCCCGCGCCCCGCGCCCCGCGCCCCGCCGCCGCCGCCGCCGCGAGGGCCGAGCCGCGCCAGGGCGGGCGGGGCGCGCAGGGCGGAGGCGGCGGCTGCGCTGGGCCGGGAGGAGGCCCCACGGGTGCGGAGCAGCCCCGGCCCGGCCCGGCCCGAGGGGAGAGATCCTTCCTCCGTGGGTCACAGCTGCAGCCAAGCGGGGATGGAGAACCCCGTGGAGAGGACCTGCCAGGGGCTGCCTGGAGAATGACGCGTATTCCTCAGCGTTGGGATGGTGACTACGGGACATACCTCTCTGCCAACCCTCTTAGGACAACAAGCCCTTCTGATCCGTGGGGCCATCAGACATGTAGGATGTAATTCTTGAAAGAGTAGCTGCTCTTGTTAAGTGTTGTTGGATGCCATCTGTTCAAATCCAAATGCTCTTCCCTGACGTTCATTACTATTACTTAGTGCGGGGGAGAACAGAGTAAAACAGTCTTCCATTTGGCTGCCTTTGGACAAGGCCCACGAACGGCACCTGGGACCGTTTTTTTGATTTTTCATTCTTCTTGACGGAGCCATCACATCTGGGGGAAATCATACATGGCATGTATTTACCAAATGTGTCGTGTGCCTTTCTTATCCACCATTTGTTTTAAAATTGACCATGGAATCGGTCGTCTGCGTTTGAAAATGCTCGTTCCCAGTTAGTGTGGTGGGAAGCACATTCCAATGTAAGAATTCCATTGTGAAGTGCCAAGTGAAAGCACACATGCTGGGAATATTAGAACCCAGCAAGATGAGAGGGGTCAGAAAATGATGCCAGGCCGTTGGTGGAAGTTAGAGATGGGGGAAGTGGTGTTGCCTTTTGTTGGTTAATTAGAATAGCAATGATTGGAAACCTACTGGGGGAGGAGGAGGTATTTCACCAAACAAGACAGTAAGAGACAAAACCTGCACTGTGACAGCATTCGGACTGTGCCAAGTCAATGAACTGTTAAACTTTCCTGTTCCTGTGCCAGTTGTGTAGAATAAAAACCCGGCATAGAACTTGGCCTGAGTCAGAAGTGGGCCAGTGACTACTGGAACCACATGATGACAGCCTCATTGACAGTGGGAAAATGCACATTCCCCCCACCAACCTTCATGGACAAAAGTAAACAGAGGAAAAGCTACCAAATGTTTCCTACATTCTTAAGTGTCAGCCCTATTACCGTTGATGTTCAGTTGGTTATTACTAATGCAAACCCACCTGCTTATCTATTATTGTTTTAAAGAGAAAGTAGGTTTGAATGTGAATGTTTTCCATCTTCCTCTGGCTTGACAAAAAAAAGAAAAAGAAAAAGAAAAAGATCTTCTGAACATTTGAAATGGACTCAAGTCAAAGTTAAAAAATGTTTTGGGTGAAGGTGATTTTTCAATGGAGTGCCTTGTTAAATGCCAGGGCTGGGGTTTTTTCTGTGCTATCTTTGTCATGAACGCGTGAGAGTTAGAATTTTGTAATGTAATAAAAGCACACATTAAATAGGCTTGATATCACGAACAGAAGGATATGAACTAGGAAAGTTTTGCTGTCATGTTTCCTTTTGTTCCTCAGGATAGACTCGGTAAAGGAGTTTGTATGATTCTCATTATAGGTGAGAGGAAGGGGCTTAAAAAGAAAAAGGATACAGGAAAATATAGAAACAATTTTTGTTAAATTCGGTTTCTTCCTTTTTTTTTTTTTTTTTTTTAAACCCCAGCAATTCAGTTTCTCTCCAAAACTCTGTGAAGACACAGTTTTGTATTTAGGTCAATCAATTGCCTAGAAGTCATGGTGATGTTGCTAGTGTCACCTAAGTAGCTAGAAGAGAATCAGTGTGGAGAGAACCCCAGTGTAAACATGGGGCTTTGACAATTAGGGAGCTTTTCAGACCCACCTGGAAAACAGGAACACATTTTATTTAGGCTTGTCATTAGAGAGGAGGAATGGTAAGGAGAAATTAAAAAAAATTGTCACCTGAACTTGCAGCGACATGAACTATTTCATGAACCTTTTGGTCGCTGTCACTATTTCACCTGATATTCTGAGAGGAGAAAAAAAAGTCGTATTTAATCCAAGTGTGTCCCATATTATGTGTTTGGAAACCTGGCTAAATTCTAGTCAATGGGGCGCTGTGTTCTGAATAACAAACCTTCTTGAACATAATGAACACTAAACATTCTGTTGATACTTTTCAGTTCACCTCTGTTGAAAAATAAGACTCTTAGGTAATTGCTTTATTAAACTCTTTGGGTTTATGTCTTTAATCACTTAAATGGGAAGTGTGATCACCAAAGCAATTTAGTGAAGTAAAAGACGTAAATAAATTACAAGTAACTTTATTTCCCCCAAGGCTTTACACAATAAAATGATTTTTCTAAACCATTAAAAAAAAAAAAAGAACTAAAGTGTTGCCCTGACCAGCTAGCTTAAACAATAGTGGGTCCAATTCCTGGTATGAAAGAGCATATACCTAGGTTGCTGATTCAAACCCTGGTCAGGGCGTGTACCAGCAGCAACCAGTCAATGTTTCCTCTCACATTGATGTTTCTCTTCTCTCTCTCTCTCTCTCTCTCTCTCTCTCTCTCTCTCTCTTCCCCTTCCTCTTTCTCTAAAATAAAAAATATATCTTCTGCCCTAGCCAGTTTGGCTCAGTGGATAGAGCGTTGGCCTGTGGACTGAAGGGTCCAAGATTCTATTCCAGCCAAAGGCACATGCCCAGGTTGCAGGCTCGATCCCCAGTAGTGGGTGTGCAGGAAGTAGCCAGTCAATGATTCTCTCTCATCATTGATGTTTTGATCTCTCCCTCTCCCTTCTTCTCTGAAATCAATAAAAAATATATTAAAAACATATATATGTGTATATATACATATATATAATATATTCTTTTGTGTATTAAAAAAGAAAAACAAAGAGTTGAGGTTTTGAGTTTTCAAGAATATATGGTTAAATCTATAGCCATCCCCTAGAACAGTGGTTGGCAAACTCATTAGTCAACAGAGCCAAATATCAACAGTACAATGATCGAAATACCTTTTGAGAGCCAAATTTTTTTTTAAAAAAATATATTTTTTATTGATTTTTTACAGAGAGGAAGGGAGAGGGTTAGAGAGTTAGAAACATCGGTGAGAGAGAAACATTGATCAGCTGCCTCCTGCACACTTCCTATTGGGTACGTGTCTGCAACCAAGGTACATGCCCTTGACCGGAATCGAACGTGGCACCCTTGAGTCCGCAGACAAATGCTCTATCCACTGAGCCAAACCTGTTAGGGCAAGAGCCAAATTTTTTAAACTTAAACTATATAGGTAGGTACATTGTTATTAACTTAATTAGGGTACTCCTAAGCTGGCCTTTGCTAAAAGCGTCTTCAATCTGATTGAGGTACGTTCGCTGAAGTAGACCCCTTCCAACTCTCCCATCCACACTCGTCTTGTATACTTGTTTCGTCTATTTTTTGTCACCCGCGCGTGATTTGCGGACGCGACTCGCACTAACCACTGCACAATGAGACTGCTGACTGACTGGCTCACTCAACTCGCGCATGAGTATCCCGCGGCCCCGCCTGCGCTGCGTCTCCTGTCGCCCCACCAACCAACACCCCCCACTTCTTCTAACGCCACTTCAAAATAGACTCGCCCAGGCCGAAAACCGACTTCTGCACATGGGCCACGAAGTTTCAATCGCACTGTACGTGTGTCCCCGCACGTGGTATTTTGTGGAAGAGCCACACTCAAGGGGCCAAAGAGCCGCATGTGGCTCGCGAGCCGTCGTTTGCTGACCACTGTCCTAAAACAAGTTACCAGAATCACCTGAACTCAGTGGAAGACTGTGTTCCTTTCACCTAAGAGGCTACTAGAATCCATATCATGGATCTCAGAAAAATCCCACATAATTAGTGTTATAGACATGATCCCCTCCCCCCCTTGCTTTTAAGCACAGAAATTCCATAGTTTCTGAATAAAATAATCTATTTTTTATCTTTAGTCTTTGATAAAAATTAACTTACCCATTGGAGAAGGTAATTCTTAGGGATTCCAACATAGCTTTAAACACTGGAGTGAGTAGAGTCCATGGTGAGCTAGAAACTGTGCTTTCCCTAAAAAATAACACAATTGATTGCCTCCCACATGTGCCCCCACCTGGGCTTGTGATTGAACCCACAGCTGACGTATGTGTACTTGACCTGGAATGGAACCCAAGACCCTTGTGTCTTTGGCTTGAAGATCTTACAAAATGAGTGAAAATTGGCCAGGACTTACAGTTCTTCTTAAAGCAGAGAATCCCCTGGAGACTTCTTGGAGGCTGGTGTTGGGATTCTAAAGATGCTTTATTGAAGCAGATGTATTGTAAATGTCTAAGGTTCCTCATTATCTAAAATATTATGAAATATGGCATATCCTGCCCCATTACTGTGAACTTTGGCCATATTTTTTTTTCTATGGACGCCTTCTTAGGGGAGCATAAATCATTCCTGCTCAACCATGTCCACTCTATGCTTATAGGTCTCAGCTGTGACACCCCCTTGGCTGCTGGCCCTCCATCCAGCCTGATTCAACTTCTCACCCCTGCCACCTCCCCTCAGCCCACCCACTCAAGGACCCAAGTGCTGGAAACCAACCCACCAAACCTGTCCAAGGCCCCAAACCTCTCTGCTCCCTAAACCACACACCCCAGCCCCACACTTTCCCCCAGAGTCCAGGGTCCATCACTTCACTACAGGGGCACAGATCTCATCTGAACAGGCCACACTTGGGAAGGGGGTCACCACCTACAATGCATCCCCCCAATATTGTAACATGTTGAGATCAACCCTCTCCTGCTGGAAACACTTGTATTGCAGAACGTTCTCAGCATTGAAAAAACACAGCACCATTTCCTGGAGAATTCATTCTACCTCCAGGACTGGCTGAGGGTGGGGGCTTTATTTTTAATATAACCAAAGTGGCAAATTACCCCCAAAATGTAAAA